TATACACGTTACACATGGGGAAAACCACGAAAACACCCATGCAGCCAGCCCGTTCGCGGGATTCGAACCTCGGACCGAACTACCAGTGTTCAGCGACTTTACCGCTCGGCCGCTGGTGGGCCTGTAATTTTAGAGGATAATATTACTTAGGACTAGCGTAATTTTACTTAGGAATCCTTAGGATAGGATAGATTAAATAAATTTAGCTTAATCTTTAGTGTTAAAGATGCGGCCGTTTTTTGATTTTAGACATGTCTCAAACCCATTGCATCATATTATTTTTGGCATCATTTCCCAAACTATATCACAACCACAGCAGAAAATCATAAATTCTGCTATGAGGAAAAAGAAACTGGTTCTTTTTTCATTTTTGTAGTAATTAACTCATTTCACGCTCAAATTACATTCGTAAATTTCCAGTCTTGTTCTAATGAAAAATGGCGGTTAGAAAATGAAACTCGCTAATTGCATTTCGTTGGAAAGAGAGAGTTGGATTTGCATATTTCAGCGCGTTTTAATAGGAGATATAACCGTTCTAGTCCCGCACCTGTTTCATTTAACTTCAATTAAATCTCCATTATTTGGAAGATGGCATCCTCATCATTCTTCTTCAAAAGAAGTGTTTTAAATTTCACTCGTCAATTACTGCTGAACGCAGAAATTTGCTATATTTTTTTAATTTAAATGCATGAGTACTTTCATTTGCACAATAACGTGTTTGATGAAAACAAATGAATAAAACCTGGGGTTAGAAAAATTGGCCAGTTTGTTCTGCGATCGCTTATTTAAACTATGGCCTTTACGGGCATTTGAAACTACCATCCTTAATTGTAAGTTTATTTAGATAAAAGGTAGACTGTTGTAGACACAGCAGGTTATTTGGAATCAAAAAAACTGAAGAATAAGCAATGCCCTCACCGGAACTCGATCCTGGACCTCCCGAATACCCTCCGAGTGTGCTACCGTTACACCACGAAAACATGCAGAAAGGCTGGTACACTTGGCGACGTAATAAATTATCCGGAATACAGTGCTAGGTTCCTGTTACAATCTAGTCTTCCACAACAGCTTTCCATGCTTTAAAATCGCCACACCACTCTGGAAACACATGCAGAAAGGAGGGGAGAAGTACCTTATATACTCCCCCTTTTAAAGGGCGACTGGGAGAATCAGGTCACCCAACTGCCAAATCCTGGCGAAGAATCATCATCCACCAACTTTCAAGTTCGGGCGCCAATGCTGAAAATGTGCAATGCCCTTGCGAGGACTCCAACCTAGACCTCTCGAATACGCGCCGAGTGTATACGTGCCGTTACACCAAGAAGGCATGCAAAAAGAGGGAGAAAATACCTTATGTAATCCTCTCTTTTAAACGGCAACTGGGGATTAGAGGACTCAATCGCCAAATCCTGGTGGTGAAGAATCATCATCCACCACCTTTTAGTTCGGGCGCCTCTGTACAGATATCAGATTTGGAAGCAAAGAAACTGAAGAATGAATAATGTCTTCACCGGAACTCGAACCCGGACGCGCTGAGTGTGCTATCGTTACACCCCCAAAGACATGCAGAAAGTAAGGAAAAATACCTTATACCTTCTTTGAATGCCATCCTGTCCAAGACGCGGAGCAAAACTCACTGAACAATGCTAGTTCTGCCTGGGTTCTATTCTAGGCGAACGGGCTGACTGCATGGACGTTTTCATGGTTTCTCCCACTCGTAACGGAAACAGGGTCTTTAGAATGTCATCCCTAAATGCATCTGTCTCCTTAGGCAACTAGCGTGCTTTGCTATAATCAAATAAACCAAAGGAAACTAATCCAAACCTTATTAAAAATCTTTCATCTTAACTCTCCGAGCGTTACAGGTTTAACCCTGAAACTTCAAAGTTCCTCAAAATGTCGTGAATAAATGGTATTTTCTTGATTATAGTCACAAAACGACTCTCTCGCTTTGCATTTTGATTTCTTTTCTTTCAATATGCATCTAGTCCAAAATCGAATACATTTAAAGCTGGCAGAAAATTTTATGCTTAATGAATACGAAAGCTAGCGTTCTATGCGGAATTTTCCGTCCGTAACGCTGTGCTTAGTTTGAAATCACTCACGCTGTTATTGTTGCACTCCATATTACATGGAAGAATGGTTGCCACAGCCTACTCCAAAGAGAGGTTGGACTTCTATTTTCCACCCCAGTTTTGAGGGAGAGCACCCCGGAGGTTGGTCCGCGGCTCTCCCATCCTGTCTCCTTCCACCAAACCACACGAGAGGACTTTCGACTCGCCGCATACTAAGAGTGAATCGATGCTGCATGGACACCAGCATTTACAAACATCCATGTCTTCTCCGGGATTCGAACCCGGGCAATTCGGTACCGCAGTAGGCTCCCCCTAAACACTATCCCTTAACCCTAACCACTATGTAGCAGTATGTACGTTAGAACTATATACGCTAGTTCAATATGTCATCAACAGTGTATGTAATATGTATGTTCAATACGCAATTTTGTATTTATGCACAGCCAGATCGTTTGCTGCAAAAGAAGTAATTGCAATTGTACTATGTTTTTAAAAGTCAAAATTATCGTCTGTGGCTTGAAAGTTTTGCTTTTATTCAAAATGGCGAATTTAACAAAGCGGTGGTTCGAAGTCTACATTGACGCTCTTTCCGAAGAGAAATATGCATACTCCGTTATCCAAAAACGATGTGAGAGTCGTGGTTCTGTGATATCTAAAGCGTCGATAGGTAATATCATCAACAAGAAGGGAAAAAAAACGTCAAATTGGAGTCTCAAGTGGGACAAAAATTCCAAACAAGTATCCAAGGAAAAAACGGACATCTTCGACTATTGCAAAGGTACGTAGTTTAATGTTAAAAGAAAATCCCCCTAGCCAAAGGACAGTTGCAAAATCATTAAAATGCTCAGTGTCGACTGTAAACAAAACGATAAACGTTGATTTAAATATCAAGAAAGCGAAAAAACGCAATGTGCATCGTCTTCTTCCAAAGCATATCGCTCGACGCAGGACACGCTGCAGAATTCTATATGAGAAACACTTATCCAAAGAAAAATGGAAAACAGTTGTCACAATAGATGAAGCATGGGTGTATTTAAATAATTGTAACAAAAAAAAGAGCCATTTATTATCATAAAAGGGGAGAAAAAAATGTAAGTGCACGTTTCAAAGAATCGAAAGAAAGTTTTTCTAAGGGATTCATGATTGTTGCTGGTTTTTCTTATAATAGCAAGTTAAAAATAAAGAGAGTGCAAAAAATGTCACGATTAACTCCAAATACTATCAGGAACATATTTTATCGCCAATGTTCTGAATGAAATACCATCGCTTTACCCACAGTGCCATCCATCTGTGAGACTCCATCATGACAAAGCTAGCAGTCACACATCAAAATCCACTGTAAATTTCCTAAAAGAATTGGAGCAAAAAAACTGGTATCGAGGCCATACCCTTCACTGATATCCCTACTAAATCTCCCGATGTGTCAGCTATGGATTTTTGTGCTTTCGGACTTTTAAAAACTGTATTATCCAAACGTTGTCTCAAAACCGTAACAGGACTCTGGAAAGCTGTTCGGGAGGAATGGGATAGAATACCTCTTCTGCCACTTCAAAAGGCATTATTATCCTGCAAATTGCGGTCTCGAAAGATAGTTCGGAATCAGGAATGTCAAATAAAACATTTAAAACACAAGAATTTTATGTAGTTTAGTTTCGTGAATGCAATATACATCGTCAAAAAAGGTGTGAACAGCCTCTTTACATGTTAATAATATCTTATTTATGGTACCTAATCTACACTAAAATTCAGGCGTACCTCAGTGACGTACTTCATGTAAACTTTAACTATCATGATAAACTATATGTATAGATGTATATGTGAATATGCGTGACAGTATGTATACTTTTATTTGCTTCGGAATATATATGCATATAAGTGTGTATAGTATATCTGTATCTGAATTGGTATTTATATGTATATATATGTTTCGATTGTACTCTTCTTCAAATGCCTAGCATGGACATGTATGCTTCTTTTTTGCATTTAATAAATGTGGTCTGCTCTGCTGGGTCGGCCCAGGGCTGCGGCCTGGCAGCTAGTGGTTAACCGCTAGGTTGGTCAGAGTCAGAGAAATGGGCGCAGCCCCGGCCCCCCCCCCCCAGCCGATTTAAATCGGCCACATGGCCAAAATGGAACAGGCCCGTCTAACACAAAAACGAGAAGCCACCGAGCCGGCCGTGCTCAGAACTCAGACAAGGAAAACTACAATTCAAAATTTACCTGAAAAGACTTAATATTTAAACAACCGAGAAACCAAAGCCCGAGACCCGAGTAACAAAAAAGGTTAGAAAAGGAAACATAACAAACACAAAATTACAGGTTCAAATGGTTGCAAGCCTAAATTAAAACAAAAAATCCATCATTCACACAAAAATGAAACTGAGGGAAATAATAAAATCCACAAAGTTAGTAATAACATGAAACCAAGACATAGCAACACAGAACCATTCATACAAAACATAAAAAGAACTTCCTCTAAAATCTTGATCAGCCTTCAAATGAGCACGAAATTATTGAATAGGTCAAAGGATCTTAACTCAATTCCGATCTTTTCTTTATTGCCATTAATAATTTTCATTATTTCTTGAGCAAAATCTTTAAATCTGTTACTATTTACGATCATTTCTTCAATCTTCTTGTCTCCATACTTAAGCCTCACACCCCGGGTAAGAATACACGACTCGACGAAGTGATCTGCGTCACCGATCTTATCACAAATGAGGCATTTATCATTGCCCTGGAGATTGAATCTATATAAATAGAAGGGAAATCTTCCATGATTGGTTATAATCTGGTTGGCATCAATATTCATATAACATTTCATTCTGTTTGAAACTTCAATAGAATTCAAGAACCTATTTCTTTTAATAGAGGTAGACCAAACCTGCTTCCATTTATCATAGTAAAAATTCTTCATAATTGAGATCATCTTTCTTCTACCGGTCTTACATCAAAATAATCCATACCATCCCCCAGGGCAGCCTCCTTTGCCAGTGCGTCCGCCCTCTCATTGACAGAATGTCCAATATGTGCCTTAATCCAGTGAACATGGATAACATGATATCCTAATGCTCTTTTAAACAGATCTTTAATGTCCTCCAAAATTTCATTTTTAGGCTCTGGCCGGGAGAGAGCCGTTAGCACAGATAGGGCATCTGAGTATATATGTATACAGTGTCTCTTAGTAAGTTCTCTTAATATCCAATTAAGAGTTTCCCTCAAAGCAGCCATCTCAGCCTGATAAACAGAATTATATTCAGACATTTTAAATTTCTCTACATGTATCTCAAGTCCATAAAAATAGACAACAAAGGCTGAACCGACTGCCCCCTCGAAGCCAGAGCCATCCGTATAAATTTCAATTTCCTGTAGGTCCAATTTATTGCGATCAAAACTAATGCTACAATAGTCCATAGGAGAAACACTCTCTGGATTAAAATATTTAATAAAATTGGCACAAACTTTAAAATCATTATAATTAAAAGAGTCTCTCAATCCATTACTTAGTAAAAATTTTTAAAATAGAACTGGTAAAAAATCGAGAGAAGGGGCACACCGGCAAGTATGCACAGAACCTCCGTCGAGACCGTCCTAAAAGCTCTGGTAACAACCGCTGGGTTGGTAACCAATTCTGCATGGTTATATCAAATATACTTGGGTCGGAAGCCAATTCAGCGGTTTACCTTCCCTAACCACTATGCCGTCTGGGCGACCAATCGCTCACGTCTCTGGGTTATTTAAAAAAAAAGGTAATTTTTAATATTAATTTCTGATAACGTTTATTCACTTTTCATAATCTATTTAAAGAAGAATATTGTGTGCAGCCACATCAAGAAGCTTATAAACGAAATAAACAAAACCGCATAATGTAAGAAATAACAATATCTAGAGTTTAATGAACCCTTAACCTGCCTCAAAAACTAATGTACTTAACTATAAAAAAATATACATAAGCTTCCTAATATTATTTATATACGAGGCGTATTCGGAAACTAAGTACCGTTTTGAAAAAAAGAAAATAGTGAAACAATTTTTTCGAATCCAATTTTATTTTTACATGAAAATACATGTCTTAAACTATTTTTCAACATAGTTTCCGCCAATGATCAAACACTTGTCATAGCGGGTGACCAGTTTTTGTATACCATCGTCAAAGAAACAGTTTCGATAACCACGACTCCACACTTTTCGGAGAATGAGTGTGTCTCCACTCCATCGATTGTTGTTTCGATTTTGGTGTGAAATGACACACCCAAGTTTCACCACCTGTCACAATTTGGTTTAAAATGTTTTCTCCCTCATCACTGTACCGCGTGAGAAATGTCAGGGCACTACCAAGTCGCTTTGCTTTGTGAACATCAGTGAGCATTTTTGGAACCCATCGAGAACACAGTTTGCGATAATTCAAGCGGTCAGACACAATTTCGAACAAAACAGTACGTGAAATTTGTGGAAATGCCTCTGAAAAAGTTGTCATTGTGAAGCGTCTGTTCTCATGAATTTCTTCATCAACTTTCCTTACCAAATCATCGGTGACAACAGAAGGCCGACCACTCCGAGCCTCGGCGTGGACATTTGTTCGACCTGCATTAAACATTCTTACCCACTTTCTCACCATTTCATCACTTATCGCGTATTCACCGTAAACCTGTGTCACTTGACGATAAATTTCGGCCGGTTTAACATTCCTCGCGTTCAAAAATTTAATCACGGCACGAATCTCACAGTCAGCGGGAGAACTAATTGTCTTAAACATTTTGAATGTGCACAGCAAACTGAAAACACAACATAGAGCAACCAAAATGGCGACAATTGAAAGTCAGTGAACAAGAAAGACTAGTGCGCATGCGCGGGACGCCTACCACTGCGCTGCGACGGCGCTAGAATGAAACGGTACTTAGTTTCCGAATACGCTACGTAAATATATTTTAAATCTGTCTAGCTTTTCCATACGTATAATATTTAATTCGTTTTCTCAAACCCTTTATTCACGAGGAGTTTGCGCTCGATTTATTTTATTTTTTTATTTTTTTTTTTTTTTAAGTACTTGTTCTGAGCACTTGAAAATCACTTAACATGGTATTTGCAAATATAAAAAGAAAATATTGAAGAAAAAACACAGAAAAAATGTTTCATCATGCGTTTTTTTTTCAGAAAAATTAACAAAAGTATAAAAACTCAAAATGTGTTTGACTCTTTTAGTTATCAATATCGGCTTGAAGGTAATGTTCTCTCTTGCACATGAAGTAGGTCCACTTTAAATTTAACTTTAAAGGTCCTCCCTTTCTGGGTTAGTTGTTCCAAAAATTATTTTTAAGTACTTGAACATTCAAGGGAACATGCATTTGTTTTTCAATGCTGTTGAAATTTCAAGGATCAATGAGCATTTGAGTCGATATTTAGAACAGTATCTTCTCCCTCCTTCCAGCATGCTTTCGTGGTGCAACGGTCAGCACACTCGGCGCGTGTTCGAGAAGTCCACGTTCGAGTCCCGGCAAGGGCATTGCACATTTTTTATGTCTCCTTCTTCAAAATAACCTAATGCCTCTACATAGTAACTTCAAATTTTTGTGCCTGATTTGCAAGTCTTGCATAAATTGTGAATATTTCGCAAAGGGAGTTTTCAAAAACTTTTCAATCGTACTCCTATTCATGATGAAACACTTAAAATAAACCACAAAATTTAAACATTTTTCGAAACGATCCATTTTTAGCAGTTCTTATAGATACCGAAAAGAAGTAAAGTCTCAATTTTCAATTTATTGCAGACACTTGTTAGAGAAAAATTATTCAAAATCTGATAAAACTATATATAAATCTATTTTGCCGTAGCGTCATCTTCAACTGATAGTCGTTGTGATCTGTTAAATAAAATAATGTAAGAGGCATATGTTTATTGTAAAAAGACTTGCAAAATAATTTTAAAAATTAATTCAAATAAAAATAGAGAAAATAAATTAAATGGAACCTAGATCTTTTTCAACTCTAATTTGGAAGTTGAAGTATTATTTTTAGCTGAAAGGGCTACTAATTTCCTTTTGGCATTTTGCGTTGAAAACATTAAATGGTGGTTCATTTTTCAAACTGTTGCCACCAAATATTACAGCCCTGTATTATATTTAAAGAAATTACATCGTGAAGAATCTGCATAAAGGTATGTATGTTTCTCGCACTGGTGATAAAAACGACTATACCTAGACGCATCAAATTTTAAAAAGAATTTGATGCTAGACGCATCTTCCACCCCAAATATGGGCATCTGGAAGCCCGAATTTGGAATTTGTTTTATTACCTGTTTCATATTTTGTAAAACCTTAAAGAATTTTTGATTAACAAACTCAACGATTTCAAAGCGAGCCATGGCAACACTGTAGGGTAAAAAAAAAAAAAAAAAAAAAAAAAAAAATTATTTTTATCTCCAGCGCGCGAGACTCTGTGTCAAAAATTCTAAAGATATGCTCATTTTAAAATTATTTTGCGATACTGCTCTTGATATGAATTTTATGATTTAAATGCGCAGAACATGATATTTAATAAATAAAGCTACGTTAAAAAGTAAAATTTGAAAATTTTCAGATTTTTTTTTCTTTCATTTTTCTTTATTATTATCTCCCCCCTTTCGATTTTTTCCATGTGTAATATGAATATAAATTAATTTTCCTTAGGAAATTCTCAGGATTAGACAAACAAATACGTCAGAATGGTAATGGCCTTTTTTCCCCATTTGTCGTTCGAGGTATTTTGTTTGACATAAGTTTGTGTGTATTTAATTATGGCAAAGCACACTAGGGCTATCTGTCTAAGGGGAGGGATTCCCTTCGTGGAAGACTTTCTAAGGGAAACTGGCTCGTATGCACGTTACACATGGCGAAAACCACGAAAACACCCATCATAAAATCAAAGCCAGCCCGTTCGCGGGATTCGAACCTCGGACTGAACTACCAGTGTTCAGAGACTTTACTGCTCGGCCGCTAGTAGGCTGACATAAGTTAATTGTATTAGTTTTGCAGAAAATAGCAACCTGCTCCGGTTGGTCGGTATAGCAAAGCATAACGAGGGTTATATGCCTAAAGAAACGGATGCGTTGTCTATACAGTACCTTCCAGAAGGCGTAATTTCATGACCAGCGTCTGAGGATTTTAGCAATCTGCACTGTGTGCAAAATATACAAATTATAAACATCTTGATTTCAGGAGCCTCATCGTCCAATCATCCCACAGCTCTTCTGATATCGTCTTCAACAATGAGGAATCCAAGGACTTAAAATACAACCCAGAAATTAAAAAGATGGGATTCAATCAGATTGCAAAATGTACCAGACGGAGTCAGTTTACACAAAATGCTTTGAACCATTTAACTGGAGAGACTCTTGCTGCTAGCAAGTACCTATGTTTACATTTCGAAAGCTAACTAAACACTACTTCGATGCATTTGATATTGATTATCAATTTTTTGTTGATATTGTTAATAAATATGATAAGAGTTGAATATTGCAGCTATACATGTAACATAAACACGCAAACATATAACGAGTCGCCCTAATGAAACCACTCTAATCTCAGTTTCTAAGTACTTAATTAAAAATGATCAATTTTCGATGTTTTGTCTTGTGCTAAATACGTTATTTCAGCGGATTCTCCATGTTTTAAATTACAAAAGCTTCAGTCGCTTTGAATGAATCTTTGTATGGTTATGCAACATAAAATTAAAATTTCAAATATAAAAATATCACCTTCTCATATTGTCAGCTTTAACCCTTTGTGTGCGGTTGATTGTTGCATGGATGTGGCCTTGCAGATGTTGAGAATCCTGATGGATTACCAGATTTAAATTATCGAAATCAATGGTGGTTTTGAGTTTCAGGAATTTGATTTTTAAATTTTAAATTTTATGGAATTTTTATATTTTTTCTTATTTTAAATTGTAGTTTTTGATTTTAAAATGTTCTGAAATTTTAAAGTTTTAAAATTTTTCTTGTGTTCTGTTCTTGGTGGAGTGATTGCTGGGGTTTTGGTGTGGTGCATGGCGGTCTTGGGTTTTTCCAGTTTTGGTTTTGGTTTGGTTTTTGGCAGTCTTGGAGCTTCTTTTCTATGATTATTAAAGATAATTAATACATTTGAATTCAGATAGTGGTAGGACTATTAAAGTAAATTTTTGAAATAAATTAATAGTTTAAATAGAATTATGATTATACAAATAATATGCTATTAAAGTAATATTGTGGGGAATTCGGTTTGACCTTCTACAGGTTATTTAAATTGGGAATTCCTCGATGGCTTTGGACCGCCTGTGCCTGTTCCGAAATTCATGTGAATGAATGTTTCTTGAGAGTTTCCGCCACTCTGTTTGCCCGTGGGGTTTTTAATTGTTTTTGGATTTTGAATGTTTCGTGCTGTGCTTCGTTGTTTGTATGT